ATTGCTTGTATAATCAATGAAAAACCGCAATAATGAATAGCGATGCGGCCCCATGCGGGCGGGTAATGGGAAACAAGGAATCAAATTGGAGTGGCCTAATACATGACATGCTCATGTATAGCACTAACCAGGTATCATTCTCGAAAGCCTCGACAGCTCTCTCAGGTTCTGATTCCAGCGCAGTCATCTCTACCTTCACCTCAGTCGACCTGCGCCAAATTCCGCCAATCTGGTCAACCGCAATCGCACAGCTAAAATTGTCCACATAATTTCCTGTCAAAAAGCTCGTATTTCCACAAAAATTTGATATCAGTTTACACAGAAACATTCTGTGTAGTCTGTAATGCAATTATAGTGCTATAGTAAAATTATATATGTAGTAGACTTATAGTCTATAACATCCATGGTAAAAATTATGAATAATAAATCAGTCCAGGATTGTATTTTGACAATGGAGAAGAGATGGAGTGACACTTGGCACTTCTGACATCATCAGTTAAATGTAAATATGGACCATCATGTAGTGTGACATTCAGTCTCTCTATCATTAACAGAAAAATAAACAATAATTGTTGTTGTTTATTGTTGTTGTTTATAATTACCTCTTTTTTCCCAGAAGTGACTAACATGTCCTCCCCAGCTCTTTACCTCACTGCTCTTCTGAAAATTCTATAACACAGACTTAACGCACTCATCTCTAACAAACAATGCTAAAATTGAAACCTCTAAGATACGATATGAATTCTTCACATCCCGTGGCAGCTGCCAGGAAGGTACATATTGCTTGCATTATTGGATCATTAGGTATCATTGCTTTTAAAACTTGTGATCAGCTCAAATTATAATAGCATACAGACATAAGCCAAAAATCATAAGTTTAATTATAGAACTATAATCAGTAGACACTCTATTGTAACTATCACTATTATTATAGTTAGATCTACTTGAAAACTACAAACAAGTAAAAGTCCGCACTGACATTTTGACACACAATTAATCTTGTAACACTATTCATCTTGTGAATCCTCAGAACACAAGGAAATTCCAAAGCGATCAGCAAGAGATAAAAGATGAGCTTTCTGCTTCTTCATATTCTCACATAATTCAGAATGATACTGTACCAATTCCTTATTAAATTTAGCTTGTTTCCTCCACTATATTCATTGTAATATATTTAATATTATTTTATCATTACTGTACTTTTTTAACTTGGGTATCCATTGCTTCTCTCTGTTCAAAATATAATCGTTCCACATCAGCTATGTGTCGCTCAGCAATTTCTTGGTGCTGTTTAAGGTAGCCCTAATGTTGGGAAAGAAGGAAAAACATGCATTAATGTATTAACTGATTTATTTATTACCTCTACTATTTTTGGTTTAATATTTTTAAAAAAATTATGACAGCCTGCTATGAAGTGCATTTCCAATTGCACAAGGAAAGCATCAATTTCTGCATTCCTTCAAATTTAACATTAAAAAAGCATAAACCCATAATATCAGTAGTGACATACCGTAAGTGGCGTTCTGGATCATCCAAAGGAACAAAAAGCCTATGAAAATTGTACATGTAGACATAGAGCTACATATATTCTCATGCTTACTTTTTGATAAAAACTACGATGGTCTCCCAAATACTATAATGCCTATGATTAGAAAAATTATAATCATAGATAACTAATATAATTATAATTACACTTTGCTCTGTTCTAGTACATCGCTTAACTTGAGAGGACTATAAACAGAAAAAGATTAAGCAAAAAAGATTATAATTATGTAGTACCCGCTGGCTGTAATTTTGCCATCATTTAGATAGTCAGGAATGATGAAATCTTCAGGCAAATGAGACTCATCTACACATCATTATAGTAACTATGATACTCAAGCAATACATTGAGTATTGTTCATACCACTAGTAGAAGTAGTTGTATTGCAGTATGAGGCCAGATACTGTTTCAATTTCTGTCTAGTGGAACCAAATTCATGTGCTGATTCTTTAACAACTAAATCCATCTTTCTAAAAGGAAGATCTTTCAGATCATTCTTTAATGATTCATTTTCATCTTTAATCAATTGCTCAGCCTCTATAATGAAACAAGCATTAATTTTATTAATGATTTCGGCATAAAAATTAAAAATGAAATGCTAAAAAACCTGAGTTAAACTGTTTAGTGGTAACGCTTCCCCTTTTTTCGAGGTCTGTTCAAAATTTTTAAAAAATTTCTAAATGTGATTTGGATTCCTTGTCAATTTTTTTATTATTTGTCTAAATACAGCAGGAAATAAAGATTTATATAATGAGTGTACCTCTAAATTTTTATCATAAGAATCTTCTAATTTTCTGCAAAAGTCAGACCCATTTGCATACTTGGCTCTTAATTTCTTCACTGATGTTTTGAAATGTTCCATGAAACCTTCTTTCTCCTCCACTCTATCGTTAAACTCTATTACATAAACACATAGACATTGGTAATTTGGTGGGCAGAGTTATACAAAATATCATACTCTTTTCAAGTTTCATAAATTCTTTTTTATTTTCATCCAATTCTCTCATAGCTTGATCCAAGTATCTAATGCAATCTCTCACAATATTGTAGTGCCATAAATAATGAGATCTACTAGCAATTTCAATAAGTCTGCATCATGAAGCAAGATACATTTTTAAACAAATTAGCAGTAATTAACTTACTTTTCTTCCAATGATATAACCTGACTAACTTTTTCTATTTCCTCTGCAGTTGATACATCTAACTTTGCCATTAGCACTTTCATTTCTCTACTCCTCTTTCCTCCTAGTTTCTCTTTTCTTGCCTCAAGAGCTCCAGTAGCACACAAAGGTATAATGCAATCATCTGGAATAGACACAAAGCCCTTGCACTGGTCCTGGATGATCTTCTTTATGCTGTCAATATGCTTGGCGAAGCTTTCATTGTTGTCGTTGGAATCAGATAGATCATTAAACTTTGTATCAGGCATTTCATATTCATCAAGCTTTGTTACAGCAATCAGGATTCGTTTTTCTTTAAATGCATCTAAAAACCCCACATATAAATTTAAAAATGAGCAACTCAATCAATAAATAAATACTATGTATTTTATGACTATAACCTAGTACTATTATAATAAAAACAATAGTTATAGTAACATTATATCAAAAGTTTATACACATAAATACATGACTTTCCCACAAATTTAATCTGTAGTCATGAATCAATTATAGCTTACTTGGGTCCCTCTTGACAATAGCTCTCAGTGAGTCAGTATCAATAGAATCCTCCAATTGTTGGCATGACATCACATAAATATACACAGAGCAGGTCATCAGCCCATGCTCTGATACTTCAGATATTCCTAGCTCGTTTGATTCAGATAAACCAGGTGTATCTAACAGCACAATTTTGATATCACCAGTGGCACAACGACATAGGAAGGGCACATGTGCAACTAATTTGTCAATGTCCATTGTCTATAAAATAAAAGAAAAACTTAAAATTAAAATTGGCTAATCATGTACTCACTGCAGTACTTTCTAGCTTTCTGATATGTGTGTTCCTATTGTGAATTGCTAATTGAATATTATTAGAACCCTTAACTTCTTCTTCCTTCACTGATAAGAATTGCTACATCAAATGACAACATCAATTAAAGTTAATAATCAAAATTTACTTCAGTATCTTCAAAACAACTACTTCCATGATGATTGCTAGCTTTATGACAAATCCTTAAAATAAATGCTGTTTCATTTCGACTAGTGGCAGGCAATACTCTATAAAAATTAATTCAAATCAAGTATTAATATTATATTCCTCATATACTTACTCATGATGAAGGAGTGCATTCAATAAAGTGCTCTTTCCAGCTTTGTGACGTCCAAACACACCAATAGTGAGGACTTTATTTTGTAAAAGATACTCCGTTTCATCCAACCATTTCTCTTGAAGAAGAATGTTATTGCTACTGTGATTGCCATTATATTTTCTAACAGTATCCAAAATAAGCTAAAAGTGTAATAATGAAATTATTCATTTAAAACCAGCTAAAATAACTTTACTTGGCAGGTTTCAGTGATGGTTTCAGGTAACTCGGCAGTGCCACTGCTTTCTTGACAAATAGCTATATATATATATATATAATTATATATATATATATATATAATTATATTTATTGTTTCTGTTCATAAGCCCTCTCATTTCACATATACAACTCAGTCATTTCATTAATATACCTTGAACAAATTTGTGTCCAATGTTTTGTGCTCCTCCTGCAAAATATTTAATAATCCTGACAGCTCCCTTCTTTCCAGAAAAAAGCACATTGCCAGTCCAGAGTCTTGTAAAGAAATCACGATTTTTGCTTGCAGCATCATCTTCGTCAGATTCATGGTATTCCAAAACTTCAAACACAGAATATTCAAGATCAGCATCCTCCTCCTAATAATTAACATGATATCAAAAGAAACTATATCATGCATTGTACTAGTGTATGGATTTCAACTGTTTGAAACCGGCATACAACAATTAAAAAGTGGTTTGAAGTTTAACTTACATTTGTACGTTGCATTGACGAATTGATGCCCCTATAAATTAAAATAATAATTCAGTTAAAAGGGTCTGCATAGGTCTGGCTAGTGCCAGGCTAAGCAAGACTACTCAGAATAGTGTGGGTACACCACTTGGCCATGGCGCGCACCAAAACTGGTTGCTCTGTGTATGCATGCCATAATTCAGGAGGATAGTTTAATCAGTAATTATAATTCTAGATAATATAATAATTATTATTATTAATAGCTTATAGTCTATGAATAATATTAGTCCAGCATTGTATTTTGACATTGGAGAAGAGATAGAGATGCCGGCGCACAGTCAATGCGGCATCAATCAAAGAATAAGTGGGCTGGGATTATTAACTAACCAATTATCACCCTTATCAGCCTCTCTGCAGGCTATCTCTGTCACCTCAGCGACTGCTTCTGCCATCACTGTGGAACCATTCAATATACAGTGTACAAGCCAGATCTATGGTACAAGCCGAGCAGATACCAGAGAATTTACTGAATGACTAGTATTTTGACAAGCTAATACAATTTCTGAGCCTAATTAAACATAAACTATGTAACATTTGTAGTAGTATTTGTTTAGTAGTCCTACTAGTAGTATTTAGACTTACCGTCATGTAGGATCCATACAGCACATAATCTATAGCTTGCTTAGACTCCCCCTGAATGTTTTACATTCTTCTATGAGAGTCCAACAGTGCAACATGTTGCATGAAGCACAGATGTTTCCTACGATTTTAATGCAACATGCATATTGTTAAACATGGCATAAGTTGAACAACTTGTTTTGTGTGTGGATGTGTCAAGAATGTTAGATCTGTTATAGGTCCATTTGATTTGGCTTAGAACTGGGGGGGGGGACATATTATAGTGACAACTTCTGTATTTCCAATAAATTTATTTTGATCTACTGAGCTAGTCTATGAATAATTAGTCCAGCATTGTATTTTGACAATGGAGAAGAGATTGAGTGACACTTGGGATGACTTCTGACATCATCAGTTAAATGTAAATATGGACCATCATGTAGCGTCACATTCAGTCTCTCTATCATTAACAGAAAAATAAACAATAATTGTTGTTGTTTATTGTTGTTGTTTATAATTTACCTCTTTTTTCCCAGAAGTGACTAACATGTCCTCCCCAGCTCTTTACCTCACTGCTCTTCTGACAATTCTATAACACAGACTTAACACACTCATCTCTAACAAACAATGCTAAAACTGATACCTCTAAGATACGATATCGATTCTTCATATCTAACTGCCAGGGAGGTACATAGTGCTTGGGCATCGTTGGATGATACCCAATGATATTCTTGTTAAATTGAAGTAGCATAAGCTGAACAGGTCTGCATTCTGACATTAGTTATATCAATTCTGCTACTATCAGATCTAGGGTATGAACTAAAAATAGTAACACGTAGTACGTAATAATGATGTGATAGTAGTTTTTAAATATTAGTCTCACTCGTGTGATATGGAGGAATTTAATCTTTTTCTCTTCTGCTGCTGTCTGTTGCACACTTTGAGGTCATGACTAGAAAAAGAATGTAATAATAATAATAATAATAATAATAATAATACTGAAGTGATTGCAATTCCTGATGATACATATTGATGTCCTTATGCTGTGTAGCAAGTTTGAGCTAATTCTGACTTCAATTTTTTGAGTTACGGCCATTTTAAGAAAACGTCAAAATTCTGAAAAAAATCCCTGTACTATAGCCCATTGGTTTTTTTTCCAAAAAAATGGCTCCAAAATCACTCCCAATTTTTATTACATTTTCTGATACATATTGATGTACTTATGCTGTGTAGAAAGTTTGAGCTGATTCCGACTTTAATTTTTCGAGTTATGGCCATTTTAAGAAAACGTCAAAATTTTGAAAAATCCCTGTACTATAGCCCATGTTTTTTTCCAAAAAATGGCTAAAAAATCACCCCAAATTTTTATTACATTTTCTGATACATATTGATGTACTCATGCTGTGTAGCAAGTTTGAGCTGATTACGACTTCAATTTTTTGAGTTATGAGCAATCAAATGCAGGCAGACATTAACAATAAACATCATAATTAATTATTATTAATTATTAATGTACTGTACCTTCTCCTCTTAAGCCTGTTAGAATAGACGGTCAATATGACGGCCATTATCAAACAGAATATAATTGAGAGTCCCACAAACTCCGCAATCAAAGACCCAGCAAGGACCTCAACACTATATCTATTATCACTAGCTTTACCACAAGCAGGTGCTCCGTCACTCGGATATACAGGACAAGAAGAATCTACTGTATAGTACCCAAAACCGTCAGATATTGCCGGTGATTCAAGTACCCAGTTCTCTACAAAAGCAGCGAGGCTTTGGGCGGAGTAGGGGGCGTGGCCATGTATCGTCATTCTGAGGGTGGGGTAGTTCGGGTCGTCACGGTTACAGAGTGTGTAGGTGGAGGAGAGATGAGAAGAGTTGAAGTTGCAGGAGCAGTGAGTGTTTATTTCAGACAAGACGAAAGTTAGCATGAAATTAGTTACTGTTGAGTTTAACTGGTTCTGAGAGAAAGAGAGAGAGAGAGGAAGAGAGAGAGAGATGAAGAAAGTTAAGGAATATTATTTTGTATACAAACAGTATAGCTGCAATATTGTAGGAAGTTATAACAATAATTATTTTGTTAAAATAACTTGTAAAATTTAGCAGCCACAGTGTCATTAAGCATGCTCAGAATAAAACAAAATGAAATGGATCCTATATTCATAAATATGTCCACTGTATAATACACAAGTATATAAATACAATATCACTGTATAACAGGGTTGTTGTCAGTTAGTTTGTTTTTTTATCATTACTATTACCATTACTTTACAAAAATCTTCATTACATTACCATTATCATTACAATTTATAAGTTATACCACCAATTATATTATCATTATTATTGAAACTATCTAAATTACCATTACCATTACTTTAGAAAGTGTACTACATTTGCATTACAATTACCACAAAATCGCAAGAAACTGAAATTGTTTGATTATAATAGTAATTTTATTTAAGAAAATTTGATGTTAATATACATGTAAACTAGAGTTAGCTTTAAAAGGAATTTTTCAAATTTTTTTGGTAATAAAAGAGCACATGATAACTGTCACACTCTAGTTAGCAAGTTAACACTTAAGACATAACCAGTGATTGATAGCAAGATACTCTTGCTGATAGTATATGATAACACCTTAACACAACACACCATCTTACTTACTTAATCCATGCAATTATCTATTATCATTACCTTATCTCTGCTATTAATTACCATTTGCCATTACCAATAGAACGAAATTAGCCATTACAATTACCATTACTATTACAGCTAAAAAGTAATATTACCTAATTAATTACCATTATAACTATCATTGCAACAACCCTGCTGTATAATACAAGTATGTTTAATAATATTGCTTTATTGTAACTTTGCTATAACTACTAATCCACCATTAGTAATTCCCTGCTAATATTTCCATAGAATATATTATAAATAATAACATGACTTCGTGTATTTTACTAGTATATACTTATGAGGAAGAAGGAAAGAGAGAGACTAAGGAAAGGGAAGGGAGGATGTGAAATTGAAAGTGACAAACACAACACATTCAAAGAAATATATCAGCTGCATCCAGTTCTCTCTATTTGATGTTGTTTGGATAAATTTAAAAATATTTTTATACTCAAAACCACACAACCAAAACTCCCTCCCTTTTGGTCTTTATGTATAAATATAGAACAGCCCTTTTATGGTAATGACTTAAAATAGTAACAGAGAACCATTGGAGCATAATACAGGTTGATAGTAAATACCATAGTGTGTAAATGTACAGCTGCAAATAATAATTGAATCAATTTGAAAAGAATGTATAGAGAGGGACACTGTGTTATTGTATCACATGCTAATCATGTGCAACACCCAAAATAATAATAATAATAATAATAATAATAATAATAATAATAATAATAATAATAATAATAATAATAATAATAAATACAGGTATTGTATTACAGTGCATGTGATGTACATGTGTACAGCTAGTGCCAATGGCGGGTCTTATAGTACAACTTTTTTTAAAACTAGTAAAGACAGCTGCAGCATCTTAGAGCTATTTTAAACTGTTAAATTTTAATGGAAGCCACTAAAATTGTAGCGTCTATGGATGATTAGACACTTAATCACAACATAACACATAAAAGAATTTATTATTATATACGCTATACTATTTTATTTGTTATTTTTGAAGGTATTTCATAAACAAAACATTCACTTTGACTCTCTCATTGTTTGAGAAGATACACTATACAAAACATTATATTATTTCTAAGACAATGTGACATGTTAATTAGGAAAGCTACAGTCAATTGTATGTAAACAAAAACCTGGTAATAGTTGGCAAAAATAAAAGTGTTAGTGTGCTGTAATAATAAATATAAAAAATATTATGCTTTTTTGCTTACTGTCCACGTGCTACAAGACACGAACGGGCCCATCTTGACTTGAATTACTACTCCTAGAGGCGAGGAGAGATAATGAGAGATGAAGAGAAAGATAGGGAGAAGAGAGATTACAGCAATACAAGGAAGGAAGGAAGGAAAGAACAGGAAGAGAAAGAGAGAGGAGGAGAGGGTGTTATTTCTTACCAGTTTGTGATAGACATGGTGTAGTAAGGAGGAGAAGTGTTAGCGCGGCTATTGTACAAGCTCTACTCCAGGCAGCCATTGGTACAGGTATTAGTGGAACTTGTAAGGCTCGGGCTGGTAATAAACTAAAGAGTTTGCTTACCACAGCAAAGTAAGGTTGTAATACAACACAAGATTGATTATAGTGTTCTTTTACAGCATCACTTGAATCACTTCCTTAATAGGTGGAGCTCAGAGTCAGAGCTAGCTAGCTGTGCATTACAATACTACACATTGTTTGCTTTGAAAACTTGTGATCAGCTCAAATTATAATAGCATAATATAGACAAACATAATAGACATAAAGCAAGCAAAAATTATAAGTTTAATTAATTGTAACTATCACTATTATTATAGTTAGATCTAAAACTACAAACAAACAAAAGTCCACACACACACACACTATTAATCTTGTTACACTACTAATAATCTTGTTTGGGACACAAGGAAATTCCAAATTGATTGGCTAGAGATAAAAGATGAACCTTTTGCTTCTCCAGATTATCAATTAAATCAGAATGAGATTTGACCGTTTCCCTATTAAATCTAGCTTGTTTCCTCCACTATAATGCATCCAAATTAAATATTTCTTTAGGATTGCTTTTATTTACTTCTCTAACTTGAGCATCCATCGCTTCTCTTTGTCTGGAATATTGCTGTTCCACATCAGTTATGTGTTTCTCAGCAGTTTTTCTATGCTCTTCTAGATAGCTCTATTTTTGAGAGGAAAGAAGCATTATGTAAAATGAATCTAGAATTCAAGACTGATTTATTACCTGTACTATTCCTGGTTTAATCTTTTCAAAATATTCATGACAGTCTTTTACAAAATGTTCCTCTAATTCCTTAAGGAAAGCATTAATTTCTGGTTCCCTTTAAACAATTTAACATTTAAAAATAGTGTGCACAATGACTAACAATAATGGACGTCTTGGATCGGTATCCTTAAATCCCGAAAATAATCTATAATAATTAATTTTGGTGTTGCTAGAATTATTGTTTCAATACTCACTTTTTAAAAAAAATTTTGATCATATCCCAAAAGCTGTAATGCCTATGATTAAATTAGCTAAAATTATTTCAATACTGAAAACCTTACACTTTGCTAAGTAGATCTTTTAACGTGAGAGTTGGGCTATATTAACAATACTGAAAGTTAGTAAAGCATAATGAAATTTACCTGCTGCTCACTGGTATTGTGCTATCATTTACAAAGATAGAAATGTCAATTTCAGGTAAATCAGACACTATGTATAATAAATAAACTACTTGGGCACCATAAAAACCTGTTGATTTACCATCTGTAGAAATAGTTGCATTGCAGTAAGAAGCCAGATACTGTTCCATTAATTGTCTAATAAACCCAAGTTTATGTGTTGAATTGGTAACAACCTTGGCTATATTTTTAAAGGGCAGATCATTCAGAGCATTCTTTAATGATGCATCTTCATTTTCCACAAACTTTTTAGCCTCTATATAGTGTTACCACAAAAATGTCCCAATGATTAAAGCAAACAAGTGATAAGCAACTGTATAGGAAATATTGTTTTCAACAATTGGCAAATTAATGCTAAAATTTTCTAAAATAAAGCGTATTATTCTCAATGACATGTGCATGCAAAATTGCTCATATAAAAAGTCAATTTACTGCAATCACAGAATCTGTGTTGACAAACCTGAGTTAAAAATTTCAGTGGTAACTCCTTTTAATTCTTTAATTTTATTTCGAAATTTTTGAAAAAGTGATTTAGATACCATATCAACATTACAACAAATTGCCTAATTATATCGCTCATAACT